GCCAAGATCAAGGGTATGATTTTACAATTTATATTAAATAAAATCTGCATAAATATTCAACATGAGTTAAGAGAAACAAACGCACGTTGAAGGCTCCTCCAAATTTGTCGACGAACGTTTTGCTACCGATCCAAGTGTAGGATCGAACCTGCGTAGTCCACACAAGACAATCTAAAGAACCAAAGAGGATTTGCTAGATCCTCTTTGGCTTCAAGATTAGAAGAAGCACAAACAATTGATTTTTGTTTTAGGCACTTGGTGTTACTGCCGTGGGAGAGGCAAAATGGGGCGGCTATGTGTTTTGTGTTTTCAAAGAAAAATCTTATTAAAAAATCACACACTTTTCCTTTATTACTTAAAAACAATTTGCCCTAATCCCATACGGAATAGGCTTGGGCTCCAACCCAAACCCCATGTTGCCAAACACTCCCAATTTGATTTATTTTAATTTCCATCATTATCCAATTAAAATCATTAATATATATATATATATATATATATAATATTATATATATATATATAACATTTAACAATAATGATAATAATTTAATATGTGCGAACACACATTTAACGTAATTTCACTTATTTAATTTTTCTAACAATAAATAAAGGCTACACCTCAGCAAATTTAATTGCACTGTGAAATTCACAAATACCCTTTCGCCTTAAAAGACGAAAACGCCCTTCTTTCTTCTTCATCTTAAATTGTCTTCTATGTGTGTGACCCTAGGCTCCTCATCAATCGCAGTGTATTTTGCGATTAACACCAATTAATCGTCTCACTAATACACAGACCAAGATGTGCCCCTAGCAAGGCATCATGGCCACCCGATAGATTCGGATTCAGCAAATAGCTACCGTCAACATATGGTTACGTGCAATTCGATCCTTTCATCATACGTTATCTCGACGAGACGAAGGCATGAAATATTGTCAACCTTCGGTTACTCTCGATATTATTTATTCAGTTTCGGACCAATGACCCGTATTATAAACTAGATAGAGCAACAACTCAATCCCACTGTGGCCAAGTTTTAGTGTCATTGCCATATACTGAATTGCGCCGTGAGATAACTTTCTCCCCGTACCCGGGAGTGATAAATCCTCTGTCAATCCACCATAGTCTTGATACACTCCTTGTGCAGCCATCACCACCGTATTGACAGCTCTGAAAAGAACTGCTTTAGGCTAGTGTCAAACTACACCAATCGTGCACAAGGCGCTCCGTTGATCTCAAGTCTAAGGATCCATGCACCACCATTCTGTTAGATTTTGTTCCATAACACTGGGGTTACCATCCATATGGAATCCTCTGTGGGGTCAGTCCAGTGAACTTGCTGTGGTGTAATCGCCTACAACAAACACCCATGTGTTGCACCAGGTTGTCACCAAACAACCTTGACAAGTGAGATCAGTCACTGCCTTTCGACAGGGTCGTTCAACACTATGATAGCCTTACCGTATTATCTGTGCCCTTAGTTCAGAATAATACTGGGGCTACGGACGTTTCTAGAATGGCCACCATATGTGCTCATAGGGTTCTCACTATCAAGATTTGAAACACTTGATACCCTCATCACGGCTCTACCATTCTAAGGACATATATCAATACATATTGCAATAATAATGATTTACGCGATATAGAATAAAATGCCTTTTATTGATTAATGAACATTATTACAAAGAGTCAATTCTACAATAATTGATTGGCTCTAGGGCATCTACTCTAACAATTTTGAGCACCAACTCATAACCCCAACCTTTTTACCCTTGCAATCCGATGGATCTAATCACTAATGGGGTTATGTAAGAGTTATTGCACTTTGATTTATGCAAAGACAATCATACAATCAATGTTTAAAGCATGTTTTCACAATCAACTCAAACATATTCTTAATATGCACATAAAACACATCATCTCAATCAATTTCACATGTTAAACAATCATATAAGATGATAAATCATACATGGTTTGTATCAATCATTCATAGCTCTCTTCGAATAGTAAAGAATCTTTCTTTATCAAGAGGCTTAGTGAAAATATCAGCCAATTGGTGATTAGTATCAGCAAATTCAAGCACAATATCACCCTTGCTAACATGATCATGTAGGAAATGATGGCTAATATCTATATGCTTTGTTCTAGAATAATGCACAAGATTTTTAGACAAATTAATAGCACTTGTATTATCACAATGAATAGGAATGCTATGCATGTTAAAACTAAAATCTTCAAGTTGTTGCTTCATCCATAGAAGTTGTGCACAACAACTCGCTACTGACACATATTCGGTTTCCGTGGTATAAGTAGCAACTGAATTTTGTTTCTTTGAAAGCCATGAAACTAGTATGCTTCCTAAGAATTGACATGTTCCACTAGTGCTCTTCCTATCTATCCTACAACCTCCAAAATTAACATCTGAATATCCTATAAGACTGAAAGAAGATCCTTTGGGATACCATAAACTAATGTTTGGAGTTCCTTTCAAGTACCTAAGAATTCTTTTGATAGCATTCAAATGAGATTCCTTAGGACAAGATTGGAAACGTGCACACATGTATACACTAAATAGAATGTCTAGCCTAGATGCAGTTAAATACAAAAGTGCACCTATCATGCTTCTATAAAGCTTATTATCGACATTTTTACCTCCCTCATTGGCTTCCAATTTGTGTGATGTGCTCATGGGAGTAGGTTGATCTTTTTTCTCATTTATCTTAAAGCGCTTGAGGAGATCTTGGATGTATTTGGATTGATTCAACAAGATCCCTTCCTTTTGTTGCTTGATTTGTAATCCGAGAAAATAATTTAGTTCTCCCATCATGCTCATCTCCAATTCACTCTATATCATCTTAGAAAATTCCTTGTAAAGGATTTCATCAGTAGTACCAAAGATGATATCATCAACATAGATTTGAATTGATAAGAGCTTGAAATACACAATTACTTAGTGGTTTATGGGGACTATTTGGGAGAAATTAGGTTTAAATTGGTAAATTTGCTTAATATTTTCATAAATGTCTTTTATAGGATCACGGGTGTGTTTGAGTGTTTTTAGGGTATCTATGCTAAATGTTATGCTAGAATGAAGAATCATGTCAGCAATGGAATGAGTGATGAGTAGAAACAAATGGATCGAGAATCGGAGTTGAATTGAAGAAGTTATGGAGTTTTGAAGTTAGAGAGGAGATTCTAGATTACGCTTCAATTTGAACATGCTTCGGTGTTTCAACAATAAATCAAGCTATAGACCTCAGATTAAGACAATTCTTAGACTATTAGAAATCTAATTTAAAGGGCTACATTTCATATGTTTACCACTTTTCTAGGTTCCATCGTTATTTTGCTAAAAAATCACTATCTCTGGAGTGCTGAGGAATGACATGAGGTTTGAACTGAAGAAGAGGAATTGATCATCATGTTGCAGCACTATGCCATAGCATTGTGCTATTAGTCTAGAATTAACCATGTTGTAGCATAGTACCAAAGCACAGTCACAATAGTTGGAAAATTTATTTTTCGTTTTTTACTAAGAAAATAGGTTTAAGAGTCCTAAACTAAGTAGAATTAAGGAAAACAAAACCCTAACCCTTGTGGGATATAAATAGAAGTGTTTTAGCATTATTTTGCTGATTTTTGGAGAGATCAAAAGAAAAACTATTAGAAGAAAAGAAACGAGCATCAAAATTTCTAGAGCTTTTGGAGCAAAATCATAGAGAAGTTTTTCTCTGTTTCTCCTTAAACTCACGATTTTTGTTTTAATAAAGATGATTGTTTCTTTTATATTTGCTATGAACTAATTTTATTTTCTAGGGCTAAGATGTAGCCCAATTTGTTGATTATGTGTTGATTTATTTATGTTGATTTTCATTATTATGCCTAACGCTTTTGATTCTTAAGGGCTCAAGAATTGAAAGAATTGATGGACTAAGTTGAGATCGAGAGATGATACTTAGTTGGTCTACAGTAGTATAGGTTGAGCGAACGCTAGAGATAGGTTACCGCAATTTGTGAGGTTTTGGTAAACTCCATAGAGCGTAATGATCTTTAATTGCTTAAATCTGATTAGAGATAATTCGGGTTAGTAATGGGGGTTAATTCGATAATTGTTCAGGAAAAAATTATTGGAAATTTAGGGAGTTTGACCTTTAGGAAGAGCTTAATGAAATTAGCATAAGTTATCAATACATAGGAATAAGAGTTGGTGTGAAATCTTTGTCCTAGGTCTAGTCATCTTGCATTAAAACCAAAGATTTATTTAGTTGTTTTCTTTTTAGGCTTTTTAATTAATTTCAATTGTTTACTTTAATTTAGATTTTTCTTGATAAAAATTGTGATTAATCAAATAGTAATTAGATAGTAAATTTTGGTAATTGGTGGTAGTAATTCCCTTGGGTTCAACATCCGTATTCGTATACTTTATTACTTGTACACTTGCGAAAATCACAAGAAGTTTTTGGCGCCGTTGCTGGGGACTGCTTTTATTTTATCAATATCAATACAAGTTGTTTACTTGCCAATTTGGTTTGTATTATTTTTGTTTTTAGTGCTTTAATTTTTAGTTCTATATTTTTAGTGTTGGATTGTATAGAGGAGTTAGTTCAATGGCTGATACAGGAGTTGAAGTTGTTCAAAGAGCACTTAAGGACTACTCTAGTCCTACAATTGAAGGATGTGTTTCTAGCATTCGCAGGCCACCGATTCATGCAATTACCTTTGAGATAAAGCCTACCATCATTCAAATGATACAACATTCGGTGCAATTTGGAGGTTTACCAAGTGACAATCCTAATTTGCATATTGCAAATTTTCTAGAGCTTTGCGACACTTTCAAGCACAATGGGGTATCCCATGATGTAAGTAAGCTTAGGCTTTTCCCTTTTTCTCTAAGGGATGAAGCTAAGGCTTGGTTAATTTCACAACCACCTATAAGCATTCCCACATGGGATGAGCTGGTTCAAGCTTTCCTCGCAGGTACTTCCTACCTATTAAGTCTGCCAAGATGAGAAGTGACATCACTAATTTTTTTTAGAACGATATGGAGTCACTCTATGAATCTTGGGAGAGGTATAAAGATCTCTTACGGAAGTGTCCTCACCATGGGTTGCCGATGTGGTTGCAAGTGCAAACATTCTACAACGGGTTGCTTCCTAATACGCAAGTGATAGTTGATGCTGCAAGTAGAGGATCTTTGAACAACAAAACACCAGAGGAAGCCTATAAATTGATTGAGGTGTTGGCTAGCAACAATTACATGAAACCTTTGGAAAGGAATGTTCCAAGGAGAGTAGAGGGAGTGCATGAAGTCGATGGCTACACCATATTAGCCGCTTAACTCAGCCATCCAAAAATAGTTAGGTGTTGCTCTCAAATTCAATGCTATTAAATCATTTATCTAGAGATTGACAAGTAGGAAGTCCATTTGCTCAACCCAAACAAGTGCATTATGTCAACAATTTTCAAAAAGGGCAAGGGAATCCATACTCAAGCACATATGCTTCAGCATGGCATAATCATCCAAATTTCTCATGGAGTAATAATAATGATCATAAGCCACATCTTCCTTTTCAAGCTCAAGAGACATAAGCAAATTTGGAGAACGTGCTTACAAAATTTATGGAGGAGTTGAGCAAGAGATTTCACATGAAGGAAGCTCAACTAAAAAAATATGAAGTACTCTTGCAAAATCAGTCTGCATCCATTAGAAACCTTGAAACTCAAATGGGACAAATCCATAATATTTTATGGAGGAGAGTTCAAGAATCATTGCCAACTATATCGAGAAGAATCCAAATGAGCAACTCAATGCCATCATGTTGAGAAGTGGCAAGGAGCTAAAACAATCAAGAAAAGTTGAAGAAACTAAGGAAAAAGTTGAAGACACGAAATTGGATAGAACCAACAATGCCTTAGCACAATGCCTAGGCACAGAATCCAAAATGAAGAATGCCTCAGTACAATGCCTAGGCACAAAACCAGAACTTGAGAACAAAGCCCAAGATGTGAAGAAAGATGAAGCCCCTCTTCTGTATCCTTATAGGCTAAAGAAACAGAGACTGGACAAGCAATTTGGTAAGTTCATGGATATGTTTAGAAGCTTACATATTAATATTCCTTTTGTATACATGTTGGGGCAAATGCCAAAGTATGCGAAGTTTCTAAAGGAGTTCCTCATGCACAAAAGGAAGTTTGAAGAACATAAGAGGGTCATGCTCACTGAGGAATGTAACGCGTTGCTTCAAAAGAAAACCATTGAAATTAAAAGATCCAAGGAGTTTTAATATTCCTTGCACAATTGGTAGTTTTTATTTTGATAAAGCTTTATGTGATTTAGGAGTTAGCATTAACTTGATGCCATTTTCTATTTTTAGGAAACTTGGTTTTGATTCATCTTTAATTGGCAGATAGATCCATAACATATCCTAGGGGAGTGGTAGAGGATGTCCTAATAAATGTAGACAAATTTATCTTTCTGGTAGATATTGTAGTTCTAGATATGGAAGAAGACTAGAACATATCTATAATATTAGGAAGGCCTTTTTCTAGCTACTAGTAGGACTTTAATAGATGTACACCAAAGTAAACTAATCTTAAGGGTGGAAGACAAACAAGTGGAGTTCAATGTTATTAACACAATGAAATGTCCATCCGAGTTAGATACTTTCTTTGAGATTAGCATCCTTGATGACAAAGTAGCGGAAACCATAGAAGAAAACTACCATAGTTTACCCTTAGAAAATTGTTTAGTCAACTCTAGGACTATGGAGGCTGAATTTGAGAGGGTAGATGAACAACGATTGAAGCCTTATGTGTATGGTGGATTGAAGGATAGAAGGGCTTGGATTTTCCTAGATGATCCGGATTGAAGGAGTCAAAAATTTGAGCTTTGACTCTAATAAAGCGCTTCTTGGGAGGCAACCAAAGCTTTTTACATTAATTTTGATTTTTGTTTTGAATTTATTTTAGATTTTCATTTAATGTGTTAAGTTGTGATAACTTTGGTTTGGTTTGATATGTTAGTTGTTTATGTTTCACCCATAATTTCTTTTATGCACACTGAATTGGCCAAGAAAGGCACATAGTTTGTTTTCTTTTGACTAGATTTTCGATGACTATTGGACACGAAAAACATTATGCATGCCTTCACGAGATTATCTCCACATAAATGTTGTGCACGAAGGGTATTTGTAGTTGTTCTCTTTGCACACAAGTTGAGCACCAACTCATAACCCCAACCTTTTTACCCTTGCAATCCGATGGATCTAATCACTAATGGGGTTATGTAAGAGTTATTGCACTTTGATTTATGCAAAGACAATCAACAATCAATGTTTAAAGCGTTTTCACAATCAACTCAACATATTCTTAATATGACATAAACCATCATCTCAATCAATTTCACATGTTAAACAATCATATAAGATGATAATCATACATGGTTTGTATCAATCATTCATAGCTCTCTTCGAATAGTAAAGAATCTTTCTTTATCAAGGGCTTAGTGAAAATATCAGCCAATTGGTGATTAGTATCAGCAATTCAAGCACAATATCACCCTTGCTAACATGATCATGTAGGAAATGATGGCTATATCTATATGCTTTGTTCTAGAATAATGCACAAGATTTTTAGACAAATTAATAGCACTTGTATTACCAATGATAGGAATGCTATGCATGTTAAAACAAAATCTTCAAGTGTTGTTGCTTCATCATAGAAGTTGTGCACACAACTCGCTACTGACACATATTCGGTTTCCGTGGTATAAGTAGCAACTGAATTTTGTTTCTTTGAAAGCCATGAAACTAGTAGCTTCCTAAGAATTGACATGTTCCACAGTGCTCTTCCTATCTATCCTACAACCTCCAAAATTAACATCTGAATATCCTATAAGACTGAAAGAAGATCCTTTGGGATACCATAAACTAATGTTGGATTCCTTTCAAGTACCTAAGAATTTTTTGATAGCATTCAAATGAGATTCCTTAGGACAAGATTGGAAACGTGCACACATGTATACACTAAATAGAATGTCTAGCCTAGATGCAGTTAAATACAAAAGTGCACCTATCATGCTTCTATAAAGCTTATTATCGACATTTTTACCTCCCTCATTGGCTCCAATTTGTGTGATGTGTCATGGGAGTAGGTTGATCTTTTTTCTCATTATCTTAAAGCGCTTGAGGAAATCTTGGATGTATTTGGATTGATTCAACAAGATCCCTTCCTTTTGTTGCTTGATTGTAATCCGAGAAAATAATTTAGTTCTCCCATCAGCTCATCTCCAATTCACTCTATATCATCTTAGAAAATTCCTTGTAAAGGATTCATCAGTAGTACCAAAGATGATATCATCAACATAGATTTGAAGAAGAGCTTGAAATACACATTACTTAGTGGTTTATGGGGACTATTTGGGAGAAATTAGGTTTAAATTGGTAAATTTGCTTAATATTTTCATAAATGTCTTTTATAGGATCACGGGTGTGTTGAGTGTTTTTAGGGTATCTATGCTAAATGTTATGCTAGAATGAAGAATCATGTCAGCAATGGAATGAGTGATGAGTAGAAACAAATGGATCGAGAATCGGAGTTGATTGAAGAAGTTATGGAGTTTTGAAGTTAGAGAGGAGATTCTAGATTACGCTTCAATTTGAACATGCTTCGGTGTTCAACAATAAATCAAGCTATAGACCTCAGATTAAGACAATTCTTAGACTATTGAAAACTAATTTAAAGGGACATTTCATATGTTTACCACTTTTCTAGGTTCCATCGTTATTTTGCTAAAAAATCACTACTCTGGAGTGCTGAGGAATGACATGAGGTTTGAATGAAGAAGAGGTTGATCATCATGTTGCAGCACTATGCCATAGCATTGTGCTATTAGTCTAGAATTAACCATGTTGTAGCATAGTACCAAAGCACAGTCACAATAGTTGGAAAATTTATTTTTCGTTTTTTACTAAGAAAATAGGTTTAAGAGTCCTAAACTAAGTAGAATTAAGGAAAACAAAACCCTAACCCTTGTGGGATATAAATAGAAGTGTTTGCATTATTTGCTGATTTTTGGAGAGATCAAAAGAAAACTATTAGAAGAAAAGAAAGAGCATCAAAATTTCTAGAGCTTTTGGAGCCATCTAGAGAAGTTTTTCTCTGTTTCTCCTAAATCAGATTTTTGTTTAATAAAGATGATTGTTTCTTTTATATTTGCTATGAACTAATTTTATTTCTCGGGCTAAGATGTAGCCCAATTGTTGATTATGTGTTGATTTATTTATGTTGATTTTCATTATTATGCCTAACGCTTTTGATTCTTAAGGGCTCAAGAATTGAAAGAATTGATGGACTAAGTTGAGACGAGAGATGATACTTAGTGGTCTACAGTAGTATAGGTTGAGCGAACGCTAGAGATAGGTTACCGCAATTTGTGAGGTTTTGGTAAACTCCATAGAGCGTAATGATCTTTAATTGCTTAAATCTGATTAGAGATAATTCGGGTTAGTAAGGGGGGGTAATTCGATAATTGTTCAGGAAAAAATATTGGAAATTTAGGGAGTTGACCTTTAGGAGAGCTTAATGAAATTAGCATAAGTTTCAATACAGGAATAAGAGTTGGTGTGAAATCTTTGTCCTAGGTCTAGTCATCTTGATTAAAACCAAAGATTTATTTAGTTGTTTCTTTTTAGGCTTTTTAATAATTTCAATTGTTTACTTAATTTAGATTTTTCTTGATAAAAATGTGATTAATCAAATAGTAATTAGATAGTAAATTTTGGTAATTGGTGGTAGTAATTCCCTTGGGTTCAACATCCGTAATCGTATACTTTTTACTTGTGACACTTGCGAAAATCACAAGAAGTTTTTGGCGCCGTTGCTGGGGACGCTTTTATTTTATCAATATCAAACAAGTTGTTTACTTGCCAATTTGGTTTGTATTATTTTGTTTTTAGTGCTTTAATTTTTAGTTCTATATTTTAGTGTTGGATTGTATAGAGGAGTTAGTTCAATGGCTGATACAGGAGTTGAAGTTGTTCAAAGAGCACTTAAGGACTACTCTAGTCCTACAATTGAAGGATGTGTTTCTAGCATTCGCAGGCCACCGA